GGGGGGGACTGTGTCCTCATACAGTATGCAAGTGTGTGATGACTTTACCGTTTTGCATAACCGTACACTCACATTGCCGCTTTGCATTACAGCATGCCCAGGAACAACAGTAAGTTGATGTATAACATACTATGACATTGAAATTACAGTGTAAAAATTTAAAACAAGGATTACTAAAGTACATTTTACAAGAAAATACAATTTCAGTCATTCTACTTTCAAATTTCACATTTAATTCAATGTGTCACTTGCCATTTCTTTGTAATGAAGTGTTTATTTTTTATTGTACTTTATCTGTTTGCATCTGTAGATTTCAATTATAATACAAATATTTAAAGGCCATTTTCTGAAAAATGTGTCAGAATTCTCCACGTCAGCAGCACTTACACAAGAAACTTTACAGTTTTATTCCTATCTATATTCTTACAGTTTTTAGAGAGGGGTTTGGTTCATAACATTCGCCTGACTTTCAAATTTTTATTCAAAAATTCCTTCTGTAAAAAGAAGTCAGCAAAAATGAACGAAGAATCTTTATCCAATGTTCAGATTTCTGCTATGGAAATGTATGCAAACTAGTGCATATTTAATTAGAGAATGCATCATTTGCATCTTTTGAAACATAACATTTCAGAAAACCTGTAATACAAAATTTTTTTTGCAATTCTTAATGTAATCAATCAAGTGGGGAAGTACGGCGATATCTAGTAAATTTTTACTGGATTCACCAGTGGTGTCTTGCCTGAAATATAAATGCCTTGTTTATTTAATGCAATGACATTCAGACAGTTTTAAGTGTGACTTAAGTGTCCAAATACTCCGAAGACCTTGTAGATGCATATATGAAAACATGACTGTATATTTTCATCTTCAGAACGATGGTTTAAGTTTGCACACAGCTCTGTAAGGTCAGTTATGCAAACTTTACCATGCAAATGGTTCTGTTGCACAGCAGCAGTAACATAAAATATGAATATACACTCTTAAAAATAAAGGTTCTTTATTGGCATCTATGGTTCAATGAAGAACCTTTAACATCCATGCACTCTTTAAAATATAGATTCCAAATCAGGGTTTTTGCAGCAAAGCCATAGAAGAACCATTTTTTGCTTCCCAAAGAACCTTTCAGTGAACAGTTCTTAAAAGAACCATTTTTTTTCTTTGTCTAAAGAACATTGTAAAAATCTAAAGAACCTTTTTCCACTAGAACCTTTTGTACAATAGAAATGGTCAATGAATGTTACAGTCTCTTCATGGAACCAGTATTTTTTTTTTAAAGTGTGGCTCAATCCAAGGTTCTTTATAGTGGAAACATTCTTTAGATTTTTAAAATGTTAAGTAAAAATGATTTTAAGAAAGGTTCACTGGGGAACCACAGAAGGTTTTTCTATGACATAACCTTTATTTTTAAGAGTGTAAAGACAGCAAATGATCTCGAAATTTGAAGAAGATTCCAAAAAAAAACTTTTTGATTCATCTTTTGTCAACATCACTGGCAGATGGCTGAACTTGTCTGATTATACGGATAAGTAATATAATATGGGCCTTTACTTTGCATGGATCAGTCTGGTATCAGCTGTGATGATATCATGCGATGAAGAGAAATATGAGTCAACAGAGACATCAAGATCATACCGAAAACAATAAGATGAGCGAGAAAACAGAAACTGTTACCTTCACATTTGCATGAGGCATCTACTTGCTTCCTGCTCCTTGAGTCTTGGTTCTTTTCCTTAAGATGGTGATTTTGATGATGAAGTAGTCGATGAGATTCCCTCTTCCAAACACACCAGTCCTGTCCACCTTTCGGCTACCTGCTCACTCCATCTCTGTGTTTGAGCTCCACCCTCTCGCTCACTGTTGTCCTTTCCTCTTCCTATGTTGTGGAATAAACCGCGAACAAGTAGCTTGTATCAGGGTCATTGAACAACTGCAGTGGCACATTCAGATGAAAAAAAAGTCACAATGCAAATCATATAGAAAACTGTGCATGTTGTAAAGCACCTTTTTGGAATAGTATAAACCATCCTGTTGTTAATATTTACAGTTTTTGATTTAGTCTATTAGAGCATGGACTGCTATATTAAAGCCCCAAAATAAGTCAAAATAAACAGCTTTATTTCCACATATTATATAAGGAACTTTTCATGTTCATCACAGCAGTTAGTCTGCAATTGAACTGTCAGTGATGCTACTGTAGTAGGCAATTTATGATCAAAATCTTTTAACCCTGTAAAGCCCGACATGTGAAATAATAGTCAGAAAAATCAAAGACAAAAGTCAAAATATCTTTAAAAAAAAAACAATAGTTTTGCATATATATTGAGCATCATATTTGATACATCAGACTTTTTGGGTCATATAGTATGATATAGTGAGAATATGGAGCTCATAGTTAAGGAGGAAAAACACCTTAATTTTATTCAGAGGCTCAAAAGGAGCAAAAATATGCATTTTGGTGCAGTTGCAGATATTAATATGGCAAAAGTAAGATGAAATTCGTATAGCTTGTAATAAATCAATGACAGCTTCATAACAGTATAGCAGATACTTACATAAAATGCATATACATCATCACTCTGTATCTCTCATTAATATGTCTTAGTAAGATGATATTTAAATGCTTAGTTTTATAATCAAAGCTCTGTAGTTTTTATTGTGAGGCAAAACGTATGATGCATTGAGAGATGAACAAATAAACGCTCCTCAAAAACCTGATGATTACATTTGATACTCACATTTTAACATGATTTTTCCAAAAAATGATGTAGGGATAATCAAGTAAATCTAAGTTGCTTCAGTCCAGTAAGTGTTCATCTTGAAATATTACTAACAATATAGAAGTTATTCTTATCTTTACTTTATAAATATCAGTAAAGATTTTGCAGCAAAAAGACACATGAACCACAATCTGAAGGTGGACATTTTTACAATACTAAACGACCTTTTACTTGCTAAAAAAGTATCAATTATGAATCAGATGATCAGAAAACGTAGTAGTGACTAAGTTTACATGGACATCAGTAATCTAATTATTTACCTTATTCTAAATAAGTGTAGCGTCTGGACCACTCAAACACACAATATATATTTTGTTTTATTTTACATGTTATAGTACATAGTTCGATTAATGGCGCACCTCATTACGTCCCCACGTGACGCCATCCGACGTCCCTCCGGAATTTCACGTATAAACATATAGTTCCTCTTCGTGATGATGCCATGTACAGTTTTTAATTTGATGAAAGCTTCAAGTGCAGTTAATTATTTGTACGTGCATACAGGCGATGGCGGTGTTGAAGCTCTTTTTTTTGCCGTCAAATGGTTGAGCACTGCCGTGTGTGTATCCTGTCGCAAAATGCGGCGAAAAGTCCTACACAACGGTAATAATTTGATTAAGGTGTTTGCATGTCTATACTGCACTTCAGTAATGCAACTAAAATAGGAATACTCCACATGTCTTAATTCGATTTCATTCGGTTTACTTCGAATATGACTTTAGCCGGATTAAGGTAATCAGAAATCTCTGTTTACATGGTAGATTCTTGATCAAGAGTATTGTCTTAGGCCATGTCCACACGCACACGGGTATTTTTCTAAACCTTCTTCCGTTTAAAAAAAAATCTCCGTCCACATGAAAACACAAACGCATGCTATGAAGCACTGCCAACAGCATGCCAAACCAACAGGTGGCGATATAATCTCAACC